CTGCTGCACCCGTCCATGCGATACGGTCTAGCACCTGCTGCACCCGTCCATGCGATACGGTCTAGCACCTGCTGCACCCGTCCATGCGATACGGTCTAGCACCTGCTGCACCCGTCCATGCGCCGCACTCTAGCACCTGCTGCACCCGTCCATGCGCCGCACTCTAGCACCTGCTCACCTGCATTTATCACCCTCTGGGCTAACGCCGTCATCCACAGCGACGTTCACAAGGACGTCACAATACATTGACTGAGGACCCCATTTTAATTACTCATTTAATTACTTATTTAATTTTTTCCTCTTAGACTAATTAAATAAGACTCACTTATTCAGTTTTGTTTGTTTACTAAGGGTGGTCTGTTACCACTTTCACAGTTGTTACCATAAAACTGTATACATTAGTCATGTAATTCTTAATTATTTGAAATTAGGAACAGATAAATATTAATTTAAGCAATTTTAAAGTTTATTTTTATTACACATCTATTGCCTTACCATACTCCTCAAGCAGCAATAATTTAGCCGAACACTTTCACAGAACTATATCTTCGAACGGCTATTAAGTGATCATGTGACTTATTCAATCATCTTCCCATTCAAGGGCTCGTTTGGAATAAAAGGTCGCGGCTATACGATCGGGGGAAACCGAGCCCTGTGATGCTGAGCTGCCCGGTTTAAGGAGAGGTGCAGAATCACATGGTGTTTGGGTCCTGGACATGAGGATGTCGCATAGAAGAAACAGTACAACATGTTCTGAGCTGCAGCATGAAGGACATGCAGTCTATCATTGTGCCTGGAGAAAGCTGACGTGGAAAGAGTGCATTCAGCTACACCGGGCGAAAACCAACGGGACTGCCACACACATTATAAGAGACATACTGGCACTGATGCAACAACAATGCCAAAAAGGATTCTGCTGTTTTTTGTGTTCATGTACAAGGTAATTTACATTTGAATAAGTCACTTTAAAAACTGAATTTCCCCACACTGATACTAAACTCCTACAGATTATCCAAATGACAGAGGTATAATTTTGAACTGATTTTATACCTGCAATCTGATGTGTACCAGGTTTATTTCTGGAGATTTTTCAGAATATGTATGACAAGTGCCAGTATCTGCAAAAGAAACTATAATAGATGTGAAACAGGCCTAAACATTGCTTGAATAACCTGATATTACTGAAAAGGGAGCTTGATTATTTTCCTGGTCTTGCTGATTTTTCTGGGAGCTGCAGAACTGCAAATAAAGGTGATTCTTCACAAACTCTAGGGGAAGTTGCAAGCAGTGCATCTTCATGATAGTGAAGCGGCTAACTTTTATTACAGTAGCTGGGTGAAATGTAAAGCATTAAACACTAAAGCTTAAGGGCTGACTTGTTTAGACATCTGAGGCACTAGCTGAGGTTTTGGTTCCACTGTAAACGAAACGAAAGTGAAACTGGCTTTGGCGTGTACTCACTCGGTACCCGATTGATGGCTTTCAGGGGCCGGAGGACACGCACTGTCCGGATGGCTGACAGGTTAATGTTCTGCAGGTCCAAGGAGTACTCCACCATGCTGTGGGAACACAAACAGCACCATCAATTTATTACCATTATTATGCTATTCATCACTGCTTCCCTAAATCTCAGCCCCAAATCCGGACATTTTTTCCGCAGTATTTGTCAAGTGTATGTTCCATGACATATCCCATTAACATGTTAAGTCTGAGTGACCCGCACAGAAGAAAAACTACACAAAATGTCACATATTCCGTGAAGAGAAAAGTGATGGATAGAGAGAAGGCAGAGAGGCATAGAGAGGGACAGTACTCCTTGCGTGCTCGTCATGTATCCCGCGTGACCTATTTCTTGCTAAAAGCCTCAGCTTTAGCTGTTGCCGGGGATAAATCATACAACACAAAGCCAGGAAATCGTGCCCATTGACCCCTAAAGCGGACGTAATAAATGCTGGAGAGCTGCAGTGCCACGCGCGGGCACGCACACGCGTGTAAATCCCGGCCGCATGCAGCTGCATCGCAGACTGACCCCGTCAGTCAAAATCATCTGGGCTACAACCTAACCCATGGATTTCATGAACCCATGATCAAAGCACTTACAGCATGAATGACTTCTGTAAAATTATTATCTGTGATAAGGGGCCAGGTGTAAAACAGGTTGCAGTGGAAATTGTTTTGGGTAACAATTTGGTATGAGGCTGAATAAAGCTAATGTAATATACATGTCCATAATATGAAAAACACACAACTAGAGAGAGAGTGATTTAGTGGGCATGGTTGCCTCACGTCGCTATTGATGTGAATTTGAGCTGCAACCCTGATTGATGTATGTAGAGTAAACATGTTCTTCTTGATCTCTGGCGGGTTTCCTCTTGCAGTGCAAAGGCATATGTTTTGGAAAACTGGCCTCCCTAAAGCTCCCACACCATTAAAATTCTCTACTAGAAGACCCTGGACAGTCAAGCCCATCGTAAGGCTGTCAGTGTTTTTTTTCACCTTGCTGTCAAACTTTGCGGAAGCCTTGGTGGGAGCATTATCCCCTAGTGAAGTTTCTTTAAAAGTATATTAAGACACGGTGATGGTATAAGGCATCAGGCTCACCACAACCGTGTACTGGGTAAGTGCTTATTAAAGATAGATGACTGGATATATTGATGGATGGACCATCGTGTGCCTATATTTCGCTAGAATTTGGAAGAACCATTTAATATTGCGTTAAAAAAGCGAGGGTCTGTGACTCTTGAATTGTTCATCGGATAAGGTAAATGGGCTTTAACCTGTCGCCGCATACTTCTCGAAAGTTAGAGTTTGATGTAGTTCTGAGGAGCATAGAAATGAGAGAGCGCTCCCTCAGACGGTTCAAGTTATGGTTTCCTAGCGGCAGCTCTTACGTTATTCTTTTCTGGAGAACAAATAACGGTGAAATTAATAAAAATATGCGCAACCCCCAAAATAAAGTAAATTAAAAATAAATTACGGTTTTGTTGGGCTGAAAAACATATCTGAAGCGTTAGCGACGTTTTGATCTCACCTGTCGCGCCGAGAGCGCCGCGATCGCGCGCCGGTGCTGCGCTTTGAGGTTTCCGGCTCTTATCGGCACGCGGGGGCGGGGGTTTACGTAACCTGCTTTGGGTGCAAAGGAAATAAGCCTCGGACAGGCGTTTCTAATCTCTAGCTTTTCCGAAAGACATTCATAAATATTTGAAATCCTGCAGAGGACTCCGCGTGTACGGTGTGACATTGGGGATTTTTATTTATTTTATTTTTTGTTGAAATCATCACATATCGTATTTCTCCCTCACTCTTTCCTTTAACTTTAAAAGCTTGGTTCCCTGACCACCCGCCTGAACAGTTCACTTGAACAGTAAAATGACGACACACTTGCGCGATAGTAACATTGCACATGTTTGCACTGGAAATAGTGTGAGTTGATGTTAAATAAATGCACCTGTATCCAAAAACAGTTTTAATTGCTTACAAAACAAGTTTGATGGACAGCAGGTTTTTAAAAATATGTCACAGGAATGTCAGACTCACTCAAATGTCGAATTTCTATATGCTTATTACTTAGATGCTGCATTTACCAGAAAAATCATCAGATAAAGTCTATGGATCATTTAACGAAAAGCAGCCAATTTACATGAGGTGGCTCAGGTAGGTGCACATGTAGGGGTGGGGCTACATGGATACTGACCCCAGCTGAAAACTAATTGGCCCCCGAAGTGTACCCCCCTCCCGTGTCACTCACCACTGATTCAAAACTATAATTGGTTAACGATAAGGTTGGCACTTCTACATGAATTATGGCCCCCATCTTAAAAACAGTCCTAGAATTGTCCTTGCCAACATGGCACCATGAAACCATTCTCACTGAGGCATCCATTGGTAGGTGGTCTGAGACTGGTGGTCTGTGACAGGAGGTCTGAGACTGCGGCCGACCTGTTTTACAGTCCCCGGCTCCCTCGTGTGTCTGACGGTGGTGTGGAATTTAACAGAACAGCCAGTTTACAAGGTCCTGGCACGGCCCATGTGACAGATGTGACAGTTGCTCATACCTTTCTACCCATCTCTCTCACTCCGTCATGTGACTGAAAGAAAAAAATCCATTGAAAAAGGTGACATGTCTGGATGGCACAGCTAACTGGCTGGGGTGCTGGCAGATTCACGGTCTGTCACCATGGCAGTTTAACCAGTGGGTTATCCAGCGGGGACGGCTGATTGCACATCAGTTTTTTGTCCTTTGTTTTTATTCATCATTGCTGCTTTTGTTAAAACGTCTCCACTCCCCAGATGATGCCCCCCTTCCTCCTGTGTCACTTGGGTCAGGTCACCATGCAAGTGTTGCAGTTGACTTCCCTGAGCAAGGAGGCTGCGGTCAAGGCTGTATATACACAGTGCATTATTATCATAGTTCACATGCATAATACGCTATGCATGTACCCCCCTGTGTCCAGTTTAGTAGTAGACTGTATTTTGCACATTAATTATCATTAAACCCTGCCCTTGTCACTTGCTCTCTTTATGTCACACTGTCAGGCCTGCACAAAAGAAGTTAGAAATTCTCTCAGGGTGGGGGGGAGTGGGAGGGATGCGTGAGTGTGGATAATGGTAGCCTTAATTTGGAGAAGGGGGACCTATTCATTAGAATAGGTCATGTCTTTGTGCGGCCCTGCCCTCCATGTTATTGTCTTCCTGCATATGCATGGTATCCCAATAAAGCTCGCTTGACTTGATTTGACTTGTCTGGATACCTGTAGCCCATAGAAAAAGACAGTGGACTATGTGCAAGTCACATAATGGTAACAGGGCCACCTAAGCAACCGCGCCATTCCATGGCACCCAGCTCATCCCTAGGACCTCTATGGAGGGCCGCAGCGTTTCCACAGACCATACCTCCCACTGCACTAATTGAATTACAAATAATCAGTCAGTGCTGGAAAGAGCAGAGTGGGAGAATTCAAGGGAGCCCCCTGAATCACCTGCAGCAGTTCTGTATGACCTCAATCAACTCGAGTGTGTTTGTTATAATAATCACCTACCTGCCTGTGGGTACTTTTTCAAAGCAGTTGTTTCCTCGTGTTTTATTCAGTAGTCGTCTGCAGTGCCACTGTGGCGGCACATTCAAAACACAGCGAGCATGTATGCATGTGGCACAGTCACGTGCATGTGTTCATGGATAGTGAGCCCATGTTTGGAATGTGTGAGGTCTTCTGCATTGTCCTCTATATCTGTGTGTGTCTGGGTGAGTGTGCAGAGAAAATATAACACATGCCTGCACATTTCGGTACGGGCTGTAACAGCGATAGCAGAAAATCCAAAATGCAGGAATTAGTTTACATCTCATTTATGCTTCCATGGGTGCATAAGCACATTCAGAGACTATATGTACACTTATTCATGCACATATGTGACGATTTCCTTCTTATTCCTCTGGTGTTTTGAACTGGGTCAAAGCAGGGTGGTGGGGAAGAGAGTTTGAGTGTGAAGGATGTATAACGTATACAACATGGTTGGAGGATTAGCTATGAAGATGTGGAGAGCACATGCAGCATCCACACCATGTAAATCCTATAACCTCCAGTCAAAACTGCAAACACACTGGAGGTAGCTGGGATGTGTGGGTGCTTTGGAGAGTCCAAACAGCATCACACTCCAGCCAAACAGAACGGGTAAACAGCTTACACCCTCCCAAGCTTTCCATTCCAATTCTGCATGAGAGTCACAACATATCCCAGAAGATTGGCAGAGTAACACCAAAACTGTTTTGGCACCTTTCTAAACCCGAGCATGCTATCTGAGGATGGTTCTTATCTGGACCTGCGGGGTCTAGATGATCTCGCTTTGGGTAGTTTCACCTCTCTGGAAAGTGGCAAAATCAGAAACTACCATGAACTCATTTCGTTGACACCAGGGAAGTCATTAGGACCCTTTTAAAGCTACAGACACCTGAGGATGACATTATAAGTATAGGGCTGTCTTGCAGGAGGCAACAGAGGGATAAAGAAAGCAGTGCATATGGGAGATGGAAGCTAGCTGCATTTGATTACTCAGTTTCCCTGGTGATTCAGAAGTCGAAGAGGAAGTCAATCCCAGCACAGACTGTCGGCTTCAAAGGCTCAGAAACAACACCCATTCCGTGTCTCCATATCCCTGGGAAGACAGTAGGTCGGCATTGGGGGCACCGGCGCCTACCGGAATGTGAGATAAAGCCCCCACCAGCATTCTCACAGCCTCAGTTAGGGGAGGCGCAGGTGGACCAGGAGAAGACTGATTGCACGTCAGTTACATGTGCCAGCAAACAAGCCTGAGGTGGGCGCTCTGAGTTTTCGTTCTCACCAGCACCAGCTGAGGGACTGGGCATCATACCAATTGTGGTCCGCGCCATGAGAACCAAAGCTCGCTCCACAAGCATTCCAGGCTTCCCACCCGCCAGGAGGATGAGGGGAGAGAAGGGGGGGCACACGGGGGAGGGAGAAAACAGATGCACCGGCATGGAGAACCGCCGTGTTGTCAAACAACATCTGCAGGATTTCGAGATGTGTCACATGTTTTTCTAGCCCCTCAACCCACGGCAGCCTTCGGAGTGCAGGTTGTCGGGCGTGTGGCATAGGCCAGGAGGTACTGACCTTGAAACTCAGACAGCAACAGATAGACCATGAAATGGTCCATGACAAAACAAGTGACCCAGGTGACGGCGGCTTCAATCATAGCAGATCAGCCTGCTTTTGTTCCGGGGATGAGAAACAATGACCTCATATGTAAGGGGGCCACATTTTGAATTCTATAGAGCGGTTTTGCCAGCTGAGGTGATTCACCTGCAAATGTAATTTTTTTGTAGGACTTCGGCGATGGGTCGGCCCCCTCCCACCTGAGCACGCGCGGACACACATACGCACGGGACGCGCTTTCGCCCCAATCAAAGCCGTGAGACGGTCTGCAAAATAATGGAGCGAAAGCTAATTAAAAGAACCATCCATCCATTGTGGCAGCTCTGCTCCCAAGGGGGCTGGAATCCTCAGCTACCCGCCGCTGTCAGCGGCTCTCGAGAGCATGCAAGAGCGAGAAGATTTATCACGGCGCTCAGTACTTTGCCGTTCAGAGCTTGACGCCACCTAAGTAGAAAGTGCCCAACGCCATCATTAAAGTTTAAAATCCCCAGCACCCTCCACTAGCCCACGTCCATCACTAGTTCTTCTGCCTCAGCAGTAACTTCTCATACTTACATCCTGTAAAGTCTCCCGCCGTGAGATTTTTCTTCTCCGTGTCTGACCTGGGTCAGTGCAATGCGATTAATTTAACATTTACGCTTTAATCGTCGCCTTCCTCACAACAACATATGGAACCTGGAAATAATTTTTGTGCTTCATCTAAACTGCATAATATCCATCAAGTAGCATAAGCTTTACCTAAATCTATAACTTGGGTTTCTCTGATGTGAGAATATGTTGGGTATGTGTTTAAGGAAATTAGTCAGCTGCTAATTACAAGCAAGGCCAAGGTTTTACGGGTTTGTGACTTGTGTTCTTTGACGTTGCAGAGGGGCCAGTATTAGTCTATTACTTGGAAAGACTCCGTTTCATTGTTCTTTATAAAAATGATCAATTATTGGATGCTCCTTTAGATGGAAAACCGTGGACTAGCATCCAAACATTTGATTCAGCATATTATGCACTAATCTTCTAGTTATTTTTGGAAGATGATCACTAATCAATAAGCCGGAGGGGGTTCAGAGGCAATTCACGGTTCTGGAATATGAAATAATGTTCATTTTATGTTTATTTCTCATCCGTATCCTCTTTCAATTCCAGGCGAGAGCCAGAGGTACCAAATCCCCAATGCTTTCCGGAAAGATGACTGGCATCTAAAAGAAGAAATTAAATTGAATTTGGAATTTCTTTGTCCAATGGTTAATCCGCACACATTCTGACCTTCTGTTTCGAGCATGTGTCCATTCATGTCTCCACGCGATAAATCAATTGTAATGCGGGACTATGGAAAGGAACTCGGGTGAAATGGCTGTGAGAGATTCCCTAGCTGAGATGACTGCCATTTATTTAAATGTACCAACAATGAATATGGTTATTACTGCAAAAAAAGTCCGTGTAGAACTCCAGCGGCTCCTCATCTGTCACTTTAGGAAACATCCATCCATTCATCTTCCAGGCACTTATCCAGTACAGAGCCTGGATCATACCCTAGACAGCATAGTCCGTACAACAGAGGAAGCCATGAATGATGCCGCAGTCCATCGCAGGGCACACACTCACCCACTCTGGGCAATTTAAAGCACAGCGATTCACTTAATCGCGTCTCCAATGGGAGACATAACCACAGGGAGCACATATGCAGAACCAGGGTGGGAATCAAACTCACAACCACCCTTAGCAAGCTGTCTAAAACAGGGGTCTCCAACTCCGGTCCTGGAGAGTTACTATCCAGTAGGTTTTCTCTCCTACCTGGCTTCTGATGAGCCACACTAGTTCTCAGGTAAATACCAGGAGCAGGTGTGGCTCATCAGAAGCCAGGTAGGAGAGAAAACTTACTGGATAGTAGCTCTCCAGGACTGGAGTTGGTGACCCCTGGTTTAGAATAATGGTGGTTCAAACCATTTTTTTCAGGAATGGTAAATATCTGAAATGTAAATAAGGCGGCGGAGCGGCCTTACCCTGCCATCACGATGAAGAAATCCAGCCTGTTCCACGTGTCGCCCAGGTAACAGCGCTGCCCGAAGATACCCAGGGCCACCATTTTTACGACCATCTCCACGGCGAAGAAGATGTAGATGAAGGCGTCAAAGGCCTGCCAGAGAATGAGAGAGAAAGAGAGAGAAAGAGGGAGGTCATTCCCCGTCCGGTCACCCGGTTAAAGTTGCCCACCTGTCACTCTGACACTTCATCCGGAACATTCTCCGGAGCATCTTCACCTTGATGCGAACACACCCGCAGGCACACAGCCCAGGCTTAATCCACTAATAATGCAGAAACATGCCTTTTGGGGCAGGTAGACGGCACTCAAGCCTAAGAACAAAGATGGCGCACTGGAAGTCACTTAAACGTTGCCACTTTAACTGAGCCCGTTTCAAACCATAATTTAGGTAGCGAGGAAGACGAACACGTGGAAATCAGCTAAAAACAATCCATTTACTTCTTACAATTACATGACTGATTAAGTTTATCAGCCTTTCAAACAAGAGCCAGAAAACATAATAGCAACAATGAAAAGAGAAGCAAAGGAATATAGAGGGAAGAAGCATTTTCACTCTTCATAGATGTGGATACACAGCATGGCCAACATCTGTGTCTCCACTGTTCTGCCCTCCCCCACCCTCACCCCCACCCCCGCATCCCATTGTTTCATCATTATTTCATTATTTTGCCACTCAATCAGTCGGTCAGATGTCCTGATTGTCTGATGTTTCTTGATTTACTTGTCCACACATTAAGAAATCGTTGACAATCAAATACTTAATTTAGCATCGCTTATTTTTTCTGAATGACTCTAGAAATCTCATCTGCTTTGACTCACTGTTAAGATTTTGTTTAAAATCAAGTGCAGTGGGGTAAATATTTTGGCCAGAATGCAGTGACTAATTTAAACAGAGCTAAGTATGATTTGAATGAATAAGTAGAGTTACCCATATGCTGCTTATCTAGAAGCAGTAAGAGCACAAAAAATAGAGATTGCAGGGTACGTTTTGGTTGGCCTGGACAGAAATCCATTGGCTTGTGTCTAACGCACCATGCCGTTTCGTACATTATAATTTGCCATTTCTTTGGGATTACTACTCTGGTAGCCATGGTGACACAGCGAATGTCCTCTGTTTAGGCTCCGTTCCGGAGGGAGCTAAAGAAACCATACCTGCATAGGTCTTTATCCTCTCCATTGAGACGGGAGAGTGCAGACCTGTACTTAACCTTCTTGAGTGCGGCCGCGTGGGTGTGCAGGCGTGCATCCGGAGCCTCTCGAGAGTGACAATTGTCGAGGACTGTGAGGGACCAGTCGAAGGGCGTTGCGTCTCTGCACTGACCCGGAAAATGCCTCTGCTGACATTTTTGTAGAACCTGGTCTGTTCGACTGACCATAATGCAGGACCGCGTGAAGTTCCATAGGGGCTCCACAGTGCAGCTGAAACGCTAAATAGGATTTTGCTGCTGCAATTTAAGGACACAACACAGATGACCCAGGAGCAAAATAATATAAATTGAACCACTCTCTCTAGCCACACCCCCGCCGTGCATTCATGTCAACAGTCTGCTACTGTCTGTAAGAACTATATCTATTACCTTTTTATTGGCCTTTTCAATTATTCAGCCAATGAATCAGCACAAAAACGGCATACTGTCACAGTTACAGGTTAGTTTCAATAGTTTGACACCATTACAATTACAGTCTGTGAGTTCTTAGTTCAGTCAAAATGCAACCTAGAGCAAAGAAGGGCTGCAGCCAGCAGTGAGCCATGAGACAGACCCTAAAAAATGCAAGAGATGTACTGCTGGGAAAACAGAGGCAGAGAATAAAACACCCCCACGAGAGTAAAATATTGTGCGGGGGTTTCGAGCTGCGAGTGGCTCTACGCTGTGTTCCTCTGGGCACAGAAGGGGTCGGCCGTGCCACACGTCTTATGAAGGCTTAAGGCACAATCTCAGAAATGGGGGGGGGGGGGGAGGCTCTGCATGGGCTGCGAACCATAATGAAGCATGAACAGACAAAGTCCCCTGAGATAATGAGAGGCTTCAGGGAGTGGAGGAGAAGCCCAGGGAACCTGGCAGCGGTTCTTCTGCACAGGAACCTCTTTCATGCCAGGCCAGACTTGGAGGAGAATAGAGACACAGGCTGGTGGTACGGGCCGGAGTCTGAAGCATAGAACACCCCAGGGTTGGTCTGGACACCTACGCCTGCAAATTTGGCCTTATGGACCTTTGTTCCCTTGATGTAGCAGAGTCTGTTCCACGTGTATCTCTCTCTGAAAACCCTTTGTGTTTTTGGAGAATGTGATTTATGTACCCAAAAAAAAAATCAATTCTAATGGAACTGAAGACCTACTCGTACTTTGGTGTTTTGAACAAAATTAAAAACAGATAATTTGGTGTATGTGTCCAAGTAGCCCTGAAATCGAGGTTGGTTATGCTTTTGAAATGTTTACTGCCTTTTGACAGGCTGCGATGGTGGAGTGGTATGATCCACTTAGGGGAAGAGAGAGCCTGGTACACCCCCGCCGGGGAGAAGAGTGAAAAGACAGAGCGATTGGGGAGGAGGGGGGTGCAACTCACCTGCAAGATCTGGCAGCGGTCAGAGGAGCAGTCTATGTTCTCGCAGGGTTGGTACATGCCCAGCGTCACGCAGTTGAGCAGGATAACCATCATGCTGACGCGCTCGAACCACGTGAGGAAGACGATGGTCAAGGCAAACAGAGAGGATCTTTAATCGATGGGGCAACATTAACAACAGCATAATGACTTGCAGACATTTTTCTTCCACAGAACTGTTCCTAAGATGAGCTCTACCTGCCACTGCTAACATTTTCCCATCATGCTACCTTTCACCTCCCATGACCCCCTCACTAACCAAACCGCAGTGCTCTCCCATGTTACGTCCAATATTTACTCAAAGCCACCTGTTGAGTCCAGTACTCTTGTATCAGCACAGCAGCTGCATCTTGTTGCTAGCTCTTTCCTGTCTGTTTACCTCCTTTTAAGTACTTGTTTCCTCAGTACTTTGTACTTTATTCTGTCAAGTATTTTGCTGTCTAGTAGTACTGGTTTGTTGTAACGCAGGTACATAGCCGCATAGTAAGATTATGGGTTTGAACTCCCTCCCAAAATTAGTTTGATCCTGACCAGGAATGTATTGAAATTCCAAGGGTGACCCCCCCTGGAAAAATCTATAGAGGAGGCGCTCCCCCAGTCTTACTGGTAGGGCTACCAGACCCTCCTGAAATTTATTCCTAGCTATGGGCCTGGCCCAGTATATTGTTTACACTATTGCACACTTCAGGCATGACCTGCCAACTTCTGCCTTTCTTCAGCCTCAAATATTAAAGTGTGCAATTTTTATATGTCATTACATTTTGTTTCTGTATATATACCATATATGTTCTACGCGTGCATCATCGGGAGCTTCTACTGAGTCTCGTTGTAACCACACCTGCACAATGACAACAAAAAATCCTTGAGTCTTTGACTAGAGTCAGGAAAAGCTGTATTTTTGTCCCTGGCCAGCTGATGAACCCTGTCTGAAGAGTCTCACATTGTCTATACTGTAGTCAAAGCCTGCTAGTACACTAGAACAAGAGCCACAATCGATAAACACTACAATGATGACAGGCAGAGAGTACTACTAAACCTGAGAGTACAAGACCTCCTCAAAGGTTACGCTCCACCGCATGAGTTCACAGAGCATAGCCTCAGATTCCCCACATCAACTTATTTGACACCGAGTTTATGACAGCCAGTGAGCAAATGAAAGGTTTCACCTGCTAGAGATATACCGTAATTAAGCCGGTCTTCTCCAATGGCCCTTTTCACTGGCTTAAGACTATTGCTTTACCTTCGTATCGATTTCAGCTTGTCAGGATGGACTAAAACTCAATAATATTTCAGCTCCCGTTCCACACTGGCCATGTTATTTCTGTTCTCTTTTTACACAGCTTGCACCGTGCTCCACAAAAACAGATCAGCCGTCGCTGTGGTACACGGACCATCTCTTTGTCGCTTCCTCTCCATTATTCCTCCTCTCCCGCACCATTGTTTCATGTATCTCATTTCCGTCCTTCCTCGAGGTCTCCCGTTTCTGCTGGATAATTACCACTTTCGAAAATATCCAGAGGGATGTGAGCAGTGCTTTTGGTCTGAGGGTTATACACAACAAGCTATTTTTTTCAGTACAATAGCTGTTTTTTCTAAGGCTTATTGTAAAAGCAGACACGCCCCCCCATTCTTCCTTGGGGTGGTTCTGGCTCTGACCTTTTAGTCTTAGGCACGGTGGGGGGGGCCTAGCTTAAGTACTTATTTAGCTTAAGAATGCAGTCTTAAGGTAAACTTGGCTTTTGGGGGGAACATCAGGCTGTTTTCCCTCTTAAGTAAACAAGAACCCAGAGCCGTCTATCTCAACAAAAACTTTGAAATGATCCCAGCGGAATTTCTCATCTTACCTGCAAGCAGGGAACTTCACTGTGCGTGAGCTACTGGGTCGGCTGTTTTTTAAGCCTTTCAATTAGCAATCGATCTGTGCCTGAAACAACAACTGAGTTGGCTTCCTGACAAATGAAACAATTCGGAGAAGCAATTAGCAGGCGAGTCGAGACCAAACCAATGAGCCCAATGACAATGGGGGCATCCTTACGGGGCCTCCCAGTGATGTGTCCTCCAGTCCTGGTGACATTCTTCAGTCATGGTTTCATTCCTTGTAGCCTATCTAACTGCAGCATCATGAGAGAAACCAAGAGTTTTTCATTTTGCCTACTCGGCGTTTCTGAAGTTGATCACAGAGATCACCACAGGATCATCACCTTTAGAAGGCACTTCCCAGTGGGGGTGTCCATTGCTGAGATGCTTTACAAAGTCGATAAACAGTAACATCAGAATAAAGACCCTGACAGCAGTTCTTAGAGCTACACTTAGTCGCATATGTTACTACAGACTGTTTAATGTGGGTCATGCTACCAGACAGACCACTCCGGACAAATTAGTAGCAGACAGACCACTCCGGACAGATTAGTACCAGACAGACCACTCCGGACAAATTAGTACCAGACAGACCACTCCGGACAGATTAGTACCAGACAGGCCACTCCGGACAGATTAGTACCAGACAGGCCACTCCGGACAGATTAGTACCATGGGAAGTTCGTCATTATCAGGCCACTAAGCTTAGGCTCCTGGTCTGAAGAGGCTGCCTGAAATGCGGATAACCAGGGTACACATGATTAAATTTCTCCCAACCGACTATTATGCCTTTCACAGGGCTCTTCTGCCACGTCACAGATTATGGACTTCATTTCACATTTGTTGCACATTTAATATTTAACATGCACAGTATGGGAAGACTTTAAAAAGGGCAATGAGCTAAAATTACCGATAGACTGTTTAATGTTGCACCATTGGCAATATGTGCCAGAAAAATAGAAATTATGAAATCCACGCCTTGGTAATTCATGAGCATATGACATGAGGTGTGGCAGGCACCTGTCGTACCAGCAGAACAGGTGTCTGATAAAAATGGATATCTCTGGACCCCTTGGTCTCACATGGAGATAAGGTGCTGTAGAGTTCCATAGCTTGTGTGGAGAGACCCATTGCTAACTGACTGCTTATGCATGGTGTGTATGTTGGACCTCATAGACTCCCAACACAGTTTGGAGAGAGTCCCTCACCATAACCCCTACCCTCGGATCTATTGCCAGACGCTCCACATGGGGGACAGTTGGCAGACGCCCCCTTGTGGAGTCCCCTACACCGTTGAAGCCATTGCTCCAGGTCCCTGGTGGTTTTCCAAGCCCATAAAACACTTCACGCATGCTCTGCTGCCCCAGTAACTAACCCCCCCCCTCCCGCATTATGGTGCAGCACGGAGGTCGAACAGCCATAATCGAATCCATTCGAGCCATTCATTGCAGGCTATTGAGCTCCGTAAACCTCAGTGCCTCGGTGTCTCCAGTCAGCTGGGATTCACAGCTTGGCGATACAGCATGAGTATGAAGGGGCAGTAAGGGGAGTGTGCAGGCACGGCTCATCATGAGCAAGGTATATCTTTCATGCATCATTAGGTTATGCAGTAGCTGGTACCACCCACACAATTAGTATAGTGTTATCCTTCAATGAATAGTGTAATGCATAAAAAATCCAATACTGTTTTTACTTTTGTGTCTTTAAGGTAAGTCAAGCTAAAAAGGAAGGGAATAGGATATACATTCATCTTTTATGCTGCTTATCTTGCACAGTCTAACTCAGGAAGCACAGGGCATAAGACTGGGGAACTCCCTGGATGGGGTGATGGTCCACTACAGTATTTGGGAGAAAACATTATAATTATACTTTAGTTCTGGGGACATGTATTAACAGGGTTTGGGGGATTCTACCCAGAGGACTCCCGAGAGCAAGGAAATAGGATCCGGGGGGAGAGAATTTGACCCCTCTTATATATGGTGTTTATTAAAACATGATGAGTATTTCTCAGCTAATTGTTTCCACTAAATATTTCGATAATGAGTTTTAATTAGGCGTATCTGCTTCTCACTCTGATCACGCAGACCACGGTGAAAAGCGACGGACCACTTGGAGGTCATGCTAAATTCCTGCTAATTTAATTCGCAAAACCGTGCATAATCTACATTTTTTGCTGGACTTTGCCCTTTTTAATAACTGCTTGTGGTAATAAGCATAAATATGCTTTTGATTGTTTGGATTTGTCTCCCATTTGAAATGCTACGGTACCGTTTCAAATGCTCATCACCGGGCCGGCGAGAGTGAGATTCAATAAGGCTCTCTGCTTCACAAAAGCATGCACATTATTTGGAATATTTTTTTCTTAATAAGTACAATTAGCTAGATTGCCTTGTAGGAACCTTTCCCTGCCTCATTGCAGAATATCACACAAAAGAAAAAATGGATTCCCACTAATGGTATATGACCATAAGAGCCTCTTTGTTCTGTGCAAACCAATTTAAATTAAAATATTATATTATAATACTACAACATTTCAATTAGATTAATTCCAATTATGTTTTGCAGCAATCACATCTCTGCATTTTAAATTAACTTATATAAATGGCTTCTTTGAATACCCATACTATCTCTCCTGCTGTGAGTGCTGTCGACTGCGCGTCACCGTCCATCTGAGAAGCTCAGCCGTTCTCACTGACAGGTACCAGTTACCAGCCGTTCTCACTGACAGGTACCAGTTACCAGGTCAGTTTAGCATGCAGCATCTCGTGCAGATTACTGCAATAGCAGCTTGATTAACATGCTGAAATGTTTGACCTGTTTTAGTAGAAGCCTTGCCCCCCCCCGCTTCCTGAGAGAGAATAGTAGAAATATTCATCCATCCAGTCAATTTATGTGTGAACCTGGTGAGTCTCTAAGGTAAATCTGCCCAACTAAGAACCTGTCATCCATGTATTTTCCATAGACCTCTTCCAGTATAGTGAGCCAGTATTGGGGTACGGTGAGCGAGGAACCGATCGCAAGAAGAAACAGGACACTAGGGAGTACGCCCTCATACGCTATAATCACACCCTCATACACTATAATCACACCCTCACACACTACATAATCACACCCTCATACACTATAATCACACCCTCACACGCTACATAATCACACCCTCACACGCTACATAATCACACCCTCACACACTACATAATCACACCCTCACACACTACATAA